CAATATTTAATTATAAATTATTAGTATAATTGTAAAGTGAGTTGTATATGTAATAATTATATATAAAATGTTTTCTCATCCAAAATGAAATTTATATTTTTTTTAAGAAAAAAAAACTTACATCATAAGATTATCTCTTGTATTTCATTTTATGATAAGAGATGTAGTTTCTTTTAAACTACTTTTATTATAAGATTACAAGTGACATTATGCATAAGATAAAGTTACTTTATTTTAAAATATTTGTATATTATCTAAAAATAGATAATCTAAGGTGACAAATAGATACACGTGGAAATTATAAATGATTGATATAACATGTTTGTAATCAATGAAAATAATTCAACGTTTATGATTAATAATTGGATGAAATTTAAGTTAGAGTTAATTGATATAAAAATTCAAAGTAGTACATTGATAATTTATTCTAATGTATTGTCTCTTAGTTATTCATATAAATGTTTTAAAAATAATATTTAGAAGAAGTTACATCTACAACACACTTCTCAAAAAAGTAGGTGATTTTTTTTATATATTTTACAAATAAAAACACACAGTCTCGTAGAAAAGAAAGTAATATCCAATTTTGTAGTTATAATTTTTACAAGAAAATGTCGTGAGTCCACTACTATGGTAAAAAAGTTAGACATTTGAAAATATACTAATATGAAAGTCTCTTTTAAAAAAAATTATAGCCATTTATTTTCTTAAGTTAGATCTTATTTATAAATTTTGAGATAAACTTGTGATTAGTACAATCGTAATCACAACCTAATATCTGATAAATATGTTTAATCTATAATTTAATTATAAATTATACTTAAGATCTTTTAGAGTTTATGATCGATCAGTCTTCTCACTTACCTGATCGATAGTTCGATTTAACATGTTTAATTCTTTATCCACGTGTTCGATGCGTAGTCATGTGAATATATAGTACAAATTTTAATTTACTTAACAAAAGTATTTATTTATATATATTTTTTTAAATGAAATATTATATTTGAGAATGGACTAATAGTGTGATAAGTTTTGAAATGAGTTGTTTACAGTAAATGGGTGCAATTAAGGAAGTATCGATGATTAATTAGGATCTTAAATGAGAAGGTGGGTGCTTTACAGAACAATGCAATCCAATTCCTTCAATTATCCAATAAGATGGACTTGGCCCAAACACGGTTTCTACCATAAACAAAAACCCCACAAATCATAATTTGTTAGAAAACTATTGAGTTGACAATGAAAGATTAGAAAGAAAAAGCCTAGAAATTTGACAGAAAAAGAGGTATAATAGTTGAAGAGGGAAAAGTGAATGAATATAGTTGAGAAGTTGGAAGATTAGTGAAAGAAAATCGATCCAAATCCAAAGAACCTAATGGATTAGGATGCATGAGGCCCATTGACTTATTGGTCCAGATCATAGGTCGGTCAATTTAATTTAACACTGTTAATTACAAATGGGAGACACGCGTAATGCCAACACTTTTTCCTACACGTTACCCTCTTACCAACAATTTCAAGTTGCAACTACTTTTCTTTTATGTCTATAGTTTTATCATATGAATGCTTTGTTTCTTCTCATATTATACATTCACTATGATAATACAAAAACATTAACCTATAACATTGATAAAATTATATATTGAAGTTTTATATAATATAATTATAAGTCGCTTTATATTTTTACATTGTTAGTCAAATATTTATTTCTTGCCCTTCATCATAGTTTAGAGTAATTACTTTATATTTTCTATTTTTTATGTTTTTATAATTATTTTGTTCACGCAAATTTTCTTTTTTATAATACTTTTCATATTTTAAATATAATGTTTATTATTTACTTATTTATTACGATTACTTTTTTTATTATTTTTATGGTACGCAGTATCCGTCTTGTATTGATTAGAGACATTGTTAATTTATAATTTACAATATTTGAATTGATGTAAATTTCATCTTACTTATTATAAGACATTATTAATATATAGTCTCACATTCGAGACATATATGTATTGAAATAAGAAAGTGTTGAAAGTTTTATACTAAATAAACATAATATTAATCCATAATATATAAGTGTATGCAAATCTCACTTTACAAACTAATTTTATAATATCAAGTTAAATTTTAAGTTCGCTTCTTATAATTGAATTAATGATTTGTGACAACATATCACTCTTTTAACATGTGTTTTATTTACTTTTAATTAATTGTATTGATATGTTCTTCGTTTTTTCTTGTATTTTTGTTGCTTCTCTATGTTCCGTTAAGAAGTTATTTAAAAAAACATGTACATATTTAATAATATTATATAAGAGATATTTGTTTTAACTTAAATGCAAAAATATATAAAAATAAATGTTGTTTTTGATGTCCTAACTCAAGATCTTACATTAAAGATCTCTTGGAATCTATTTGGTGACTAGGGTATAATATAATATGATAAAATTATTATCATATCTTGTTATAATCAATCATGCATCATACAAATGAGATATGATATGATTCTTCTTTCTTATTTATTGTCTATCATATCTTGTTAGTACAATACATTTCTTGTTATGAAAAGGAGTTAAATTATAAACTAACGTTATAAGATCATTAACATTTCTTCTATTCTAACACTATCATATATTTATTACAATTACTTTCAACATTATCACTATTACCGTTGTTATTTTTACCATTATTGTTACTATAATAACTTTTGTTGTTGTTACTACTATCCAATTACATCACCTTCATTGTAGAAACAACCAACATATTATATACTTTCATCATTGTTACTATTGTTATCACGTTTTCTATTATGTTATCATCACATAAACTTTGAATTTACCCTCACCACCATTATTAGTATTCATATTTATATAATCTTATATCTAATTTTATTGTTATGGTTACTCTCTCTTGTAACAATTTTCATTATCATTATCATAATTATTGTATATAATATTGTGTAAATTCTAACAAACATCAAATATATGTGATTAATATTTATTTTATTTTTATCATATATATCGTATCATAAGTATTAAATAAACTCTTACAAAGATAAACTTTATTAACATTATTCATGCTTTATTACAATAAGCTCTAATTGATGTGAAAAGAAAAAGCATGTCAATGGCTTCTTTTAAAATAAAGAAAAACATCGGGCGTTATATGAAAAAAAGATTATTACATTCATTGTATCTTTATGCTTACATTTATTAATTAATATACTATTATTAACTTTTTATACTAACAAATTTGTTCGAGTAAATTATAAATAAATAATGTAGTCAAAGTATGATGTTGATATTTTCATAAGTTAATTATACATATTACTTGTATTTTGTCAAACAAAAGAAAAAATAAATAAACTTGTACTTGTAACTACCTACTTTAGGAACATTCACATGTTTAATTATTATTGATATGGCAACTAAATTAAAATAACTCAATAGTCAAAGAAAGTATTAAGTTGGAACTTTATTCAATACTCAGAAATTACATGTAAAATTCATTAATTCTCAACAAGCTAACAAACTTTACAATAAAACTTTATTTTTTTCACTACTTCTCCAATGATGTTTCACTTTTTTATGAGTATTAGATATAAAAGAATAGATATTGTATTAGTAATATTAGTGTTTATTAATAATTTAAATTTCCGTTAAAGTTAAATTCTCTTGAAGTATATATTCTGCAATTGCGAGAGTAAATCTCACAACATTAAACAAAGCATATGAAAGGAAAATTGATATAAATTATTAAACATAAATATCAAAGAATTCAATAATGTTTAATAGTTAATTTATTTCTCCTGACATCTCCACCGAGTACAAGAAACTAGAAGAATTGAAAAAACTTAATAAAATTAGGATAATATATAAATTTAAACTCCGAACACAGCTATTGACACTTTCAACTTTGAAAATTCACTTAAAATAAATTATTAACAGAAGAAAATAATGGTTTTATGATAATATATAAATACTCTGATTACCGTACATATGATTTTATTTAATTTGTTTAATACGAAATTAATATTATATATATGTTCAACGTGGAACACGATTTCTAGATGTTTGGAATTCAGCGTATTATGGGCACTGTTAGTTCCGACTCTGGTCCTCTGCTGCTTCCTTTTTCATACCTTTCGCAACACTTCGGATTGGAATTTTCCACCACAGTTTGAACACACACAGTTTTAATAACAGTAGTGCCGCCCTCACAATTTCCTTCCGTCCCGTTTGGCTCTCAGCAAATCTGTCACGCTTACGCACCGCACCAAACTCCTTTCACACCAAACAACTCCTAAGTAAGTCACCCTTTCTTACTTCATCACATCCCAATTAATTGCTTTGATTGCTGCACCACTCACACTTGCTTATTTCACAAGTTATCACTATTCTTTCTTATACTTTTTTATTGGAAATTCCATATATTTTATATAAAAAAGTGTAAATTCACAAATCAAATTTATAGATAAGTAGACTTAAAAATATATTATTAATATAATATTAGAATCATAAATTTAAGATCATCAGATTTATTATTTATTGAATTTATCGTATCATTTATTATCAGATTATCCATTAATATTTTGTTTCATGTTTGAGATTGAAAGAAAATATGTTAAATATTTCATGTCTAAAGATAAAATCAGTTTATAATATATAAAATGATACAAATCTTACTTTATACATATAAATTATAAAATTAAATTAAATTTAAAATTCACTTTTTAACTACTATCTTACGAAATCTCTACAAACAAAATTAATCAAACATTTAAGATATACTAAAATAACCATTAAATTTATATAAACATATTCAAGTATGTAAAAAATGGTATTATAAAGAGTTATTTTGAGAACATAACCAATGAGTCTTTACTCACGCAAAAATATTAATAATATATTTGAAAAAAAGTCAACTATTGTTAGAGTAGTGTTCAACACTCTCAAGCTACCAAACCTAGAACAACCCATTATAAATACCAAAACCCTTATAGTCTCGTAGAGTTCCATTCGAATACCTTTTTCCCTTTTCATACATTCATTCATTCAAAGTTCCAATTTTCAAACCAAGGCGCACGGCACCCCTTTCGTTTGCGATGAAGAGAGAAAGAGAGGTTGATAGTCTAACCATGGCGAATTGTCTGATGTTGCTTTCTCGCGGAGGTGAATTCGAGGCGACATACTCAAGCTCTTCCATGAGCAACCGTGTGTTCGAGTGCAAGACATGCAATAGGCAGTTTCCTTCGTTTCAAGCACTTGGTGGGCACAGGGCGAGTCACAAGAAACCTAGGTTGATGCCAGGAGATAACAGCGAAGGCCAATTGCTTCATGATTCACCGCCAAAGCCTAAGACTCACGAGTGCTCGATTTGTGGATTGGAGTTTGCTATAGGCCAAGCTTTGGGAGGTCACATGAGGAGACACAGAGCTGTAAATTTGAACGGAAACCTGCATAATTCCACCACTGTCAGCAGTAGCAGTGGTGGTAGCAGCAGCATCGATTCTTCAACCAAGAACAAAGTTCCCCACAAGAGAGTTTTGGTTTTGGATTTGAATTTGACACCCTTTGAGAATGATTTGGAGATTTTGAAGATAGGAAAACCGACTGCTTTGGTTGATTATTTGTATTAGTTCATCTGTTAATTATACTTAGGGAGCTTTAGTCTGTGTATCATAGATAGATGAATGTTTTGTTTTTTAATCCATGATCTACATATATATATATCTATATATATATATATATACTTGTTTATCATATACTGTATGAAAAATTGTTCATTTATTGCGCATATAATAAGAACCTGATGATATATATTCCGAGACAGAAAAAAAAAACTGCAGTAGAAATTACAGCTTCTGCTAATTTTGTTTGAAGATTGAGACATTGACTAATCCAACTGAAGTAATTAATCAATGAATTAATATCATGAAAGATTGTTTTTTTTCTAATTAACTTCCACGTGCTACTTCTGGGTAATTCTTAATATAAATAGGGTTAATTAGTTTGTGAAAATTAATGTCGACTGTTATGAGTTAACTATTGTTGTACTGTAATTAATAATTATATATATTTTTTCTCTACGTTTCCTCCTTAAAAAGAAAACTAACTCTAATTCCTTAGTAAAAAAATTGCAAGCAAAAGCATATATATCTAATAAAGGATGTGATTATCGTTTATTTCTACACTTTCTAAACGTTTGGTATGAAGTTATACTCATTGAATTGAGTTACTTGCAAAATATTCAATCAACTTGTTTAAGGGTATGGTGTGCTTTTGACAAAAAATAAAAGATAACGAACTAATGTGTAGTTGTCTTAATTATAGTCATCAAATACTTAATTAAAAAAAAACTCTCAATAAGTGGGAAACTAATCCAAATATTGTAACAGTTGAAAAAATGATTATCTTAATATATAACTAATATTGTTGTAAACAATAGAGATTATATTAAATTAATTTGTTATTGTAGTTGAGCATAAAGTCTAGAGAAATTTGCAAATAGCCAGTGCCGTGCACTACAATGCTGATGGAAATACATTAATCTTTTGCAGCTGCCATCTAGAAGTTTTGTAATTTATTACTTTAATCAATCTGTTTGATTCAGACTATTGATTATTATTTGAATACTTATACAGATGTTGGTAGATAGAGTTGGTTGAGTAAGCGTACAAGAGGAACAAATAAAAGATAGACCAAACACATATACAGTATACCATGTGCTTCATACGTTTTCATTGGTTTTCATAAGTTGTCTAAATAGTTAAGACTTTTTTGTGGATAATATTGACGATGGTGACAACTTTTGACACTACTACAAGCTACTCCAGGTAGAGACACCACCAAGTAATATGTAAATAATGCAACTTTATTTTCCACCACACAAAATTACAACTTGTTAATTTATAACTCACTAAAAAATAAAAATTGAAAGAAAAAATGAAATTTTTTGTAATTTCTGAAAATTCATATTAGAAATTTCATAATAATTAGGTCAATTTATAGAGTATAAATGCAGGATCAGTTCAAGATTTAAGTAAAATTCTTGCTTTACGCCTTCAAGAAAAAGAAAAAAGTTTCCAAAACCTTCTTTTGAGTATTAATGGTCTTGGCTTCGAAGAAAAATTGCTTCAAAAATATTTTTTTAGTAAGAATCCAATAAAAAAAAGTTGTATTATACCAGTACAAAATAAATATATATTAAATCGATTATGGATCATATCTTAGATCGGTTTCGCAACCGATCTAATATACGTTGATTTAATATGTGAGACATGATTGATTGTACAACCAATTTAATATATACTGAAAATAGATATGTTTTGGACCAACCGATATAATATCTTTAACTAATAAAAAAAATTGAAAGTGACTGTGTGAAGGTGCAAAGGAGAGAACGACGAACCACCAAAGACCATCGACAAACCAACACATCGAATCACCACTAGTGAACCATCAACAAACCACCATGGAGAACATCGCACCCCAATTGCAAAGCAACATGGACAATACACTTAGTTGACTAAAGAAATTCGCAAAACACTATGGGAGACTAACGATGCACTTTCAGTAAAGTAACAACGACTCGATTGTACTTCATTTGTAGAGGAGATGGGAAAACACCAAATGGCAAGAACAGGCAACTATAAAGAGAGCTTTCTCCACAAACAAAAACCTCAAACATGAGAAAATAAGGGGAAATCACTAACGTTTTGTATCGGTTGTTGAAGAATGACCTGGAAGAAAAAAATAAACTTGTTGAAGCACAATGCAACAATGATAGGACACGACAATAGTAGTAGTCAGTGGCTTGGAAGAGATGAGAGTTTATTGTTTTTTAACATGAAAGAAAAGAAGAAACAATAAAAACGTGAGAGGAAAGACGAAATTCAAATAATAAAAAGGATTTTCATGCTTTGTAGTAAAAAGAACATGAGATAGGTTGTTTCTTTTATTGATCTTATGATATCAAATTTTATTTCACAGTAAAATTTGTTGACTCTTTTATATCAGTTATTATTTAGTCATTATCAAATTATTGATAAATATTTAGTCACACCAAATATAGATGCTTAAAGTTAATATATGATATTCCGTTTTAAATTATTTTGTAAGATTTAACAACTTTTAATTAATAAGTAGACTTTTATAAAATGGTTATTTTTTAGTTTGCAATAATAATAAAAAAGTTGTTATAATTAACTGACAGCTTAATAGGGTTTTATGTGGAATTGGTGCAAAACTGTGACGTATAAAGTTTACTTGGTTAATAAGAAAAAGAAGTGTGTTTTGCTTATGGTTGTGGCATGCGTAATTAAGAACAGTAGACTTTGGCGAACACAGTCATTATCTTTATCGCCATCGCCTCATAATAACTGTCAAATTTTCTCATTTCTATTTTCATCCTTTTGCTCAGTCAAGTCGCATTCCAGACTTTGATTCAGCAATCTAAGTAGCTACAGAACATTCATTTTCATAAACCCTAGCAAATCAAAAAGGCTTTTCTTGGAGGCTTCATTAAAATATTTATATTAAATGAGCATAATGTGTGGGAACTATTATATTAATTCCATAACTACTCAACATTATAGTCAAACACGAATTAAGAAATTGTGAATCATTAATTATCTAACCGTGTCGGCTTCTTAAGATCTAGATCTTCCAATTAAAAAATAAAATCAATTCTAAACTTTTCTACCTTATCAAACACACGTTACTTTCATNGGTTTTATGATAATATATAAATACTCTGATTACCGTACATATGATTTTATTTAATTTGTTTAATACGAAATTAATATTATATATATGTTCAACGTGGAACACGATTTCTAGATGTTTGGAATTCAGCGTATTATGGGCACTGTTAGTTCCGACTCTGGTCCTCTGCTGCTTCCTTTTTCATACCTTTCGCAACACTTCGGATTGGAATTTTCCACCACAGTTTGAACACACACAGTTTTAATAACAGTAGTGCCGCCCTCACAATTTCCTTCCGTCCCGTTTGGCTCTCAGCAAATCTGTCACGCTTACGCACCGCACCAAACTCCTTTCACACCAAACAACTCCTAAGTAAGTCACCCTTTCTTACTTCATCACATCCCAATTAATTGCTTTGATTGCTGCACCACTCACACTTGCTTATTTCACAAGTTATCACTATTCTTTCTTATACTTTTTTATTGGAAATTCCATATATTTTATATAAAAAAGTGTAAATTCACAAATCAAATTTATAGATAAGTAGACTTAAAAATATATTATTAATATAATATTAGAATCATAAATTTAAGATCATCAGATTTATTATTTATTGAATTTATCGTATCATTTATTATCAGATTATCCATTAATATTTTGTTTCATGTTTGAGATTGAAAGAAAATATGTTAAATATTTCATGTCTAAAGATAAAATCAGTTTATAATATATAAAATGATACAAATCTTACTTTATACATATAAATTATAAAATTAAATTAAATTTAAAATTCACTTTTTAACTACTATCTTACGAAATCTCTACAAACAAAATTAATCAAACATTTAAGATATACTAAAATAACCATTAAATTTATATAAACATATTCAAGTATGTAAAAAATGGTATTATAAAGAGTTATTTTGAGAACATAACCAATGAGTCTTTACTCACGCAAAAATATTAATAATATATTTGAAAAAAAGTCAACTATTGTTAGAGTAGTGTTCAACACTCTCAAGCTACCAAACCTAGAACAACCCATTATAAATACCAAAACCCTTATAGTCTCGTAGAGTTCCATTCGAATACCTTTTTCCCTTTTCATACATTCATTCATTCAAAGTTCCAATTTTCAAACCAAGGCGCACGGCACCCCTTTCGTTTGCGATGAAGAGAGAAAGAGAGGTTGATAGTCTAACCATGGCGAATTGTCTGATGTTGCTTTCTCGCGGAGGTGAATTCGAGGCGACATACTCAAGCTCTTCCATGAGCAACCGTGTGTTCGAGTGCAAGACATGCAATAGGCAGTTTCCTTCGTTTCAAGCACTTGGTGGGCACAGGGCGAGTCACAAGAAACCTAGGTTGATGCCAGGAGATAACAGCGAAGGCCAATTGCTTCATGATTCACCGCCAAAGCCTAAGACTCACGAGTGCTCGATTTGTGGATTGGAGTTTGCTATAGGCCAAGCTTTGGGAGGTCACATGAGGAGACACAGAGCTGTAAATTTGAACGGAAACCTGCATAATTCCACCACTGTCAGCAGTAGCAGTGGTGGTAGCAGCAGCATCGATTCTTCAACCAAGAACAAAGTTCCCCACAAGAGAGTTTTGGTTTTGGATTTGAATTTGACACCCTTTGAGAATGATTTGGAGATTTTGAAGATAGGAAAACCGACTGCTTTGGTTGATTATTTGTATTAGTTCATCTGTTAATTATACTTAGGGAGCTTTAGTCTGTGTATCATAGATAGATGAATGTTTTGTTTTTTAATCCATGATCTACATATATATATATCTATATATATATATATATACTTGTTTATCATATACTGTATGAAAAATTGTTCATTTATTGCGCATATAATAAGAACCTGATGATATATATTCCGAGACAGAAAAAAAAAACTGCAGTAGAAATTACAGCTTCTGCTAATTTTGTTTGAAGATTGAGACATTGACTAATCCAACTGAAGTAATTAATCAATGAATTAATATCATGAAAGATTGTTTTTTTTCTAATTAACTTCCA